CATTCCCCGGTCGCTGTCGACTCAGTTAACCTTATAGTCCGAATATACTACAGCTTATTATTCGAGGAGAAACAAGTCCATAATCGCGAGTAAGCTCCAGAGCGGAGTCGTAACCCTCGGACAGTGTTTCCAGAAATAGGGGATCGATATTAACCCGAAAAGCACAGACGAGCTCGTTCAAAAGGGGGACTTAACGTGAATCTCCTCCCGCATAAGGCATAAGAATATAAACCCCCCCTCACCCTCTTTTGTCAATTCAAACCCTAGGCCAGAAAGGCCACAAAGTCCACCTGGGGTAACCCTGGATGCATCCAGGATATTCCGCCCATTTCAAAGTCTGTCCACGACCGAGTCGCGTTTATTCGCGGCAGAATTTATTTTTAGACATATAAACACCCTCCAATCCCTCCAATGCCGTTAGTGCATCGTCATTCGCAAGGAACATCGATTAACACGACGATATGGGTCTTGAATTGATCAGGAAACACCTGAAGTCAGCGTCGGAATGGTAATTTGATAAGACCATGCGTCATGATAATCGCGTCATCGTTGCCGCCGTTGACTATTCTCCGATTCCGACTCACGCAGAAGCCAGTCACTTATTTACATATACTATACACTATATACACTTATTACACACACACCAGCAATTATTAAATATTTATGTAGTTGCATTTGGGAAGCAGCGGCCTTTAAGCTCTTAGATCTATTTCGGGCAGCTGTTAGCAAATCCCACTCATCCCAGCTGAGCTAGTAGGATTTAGCTTACGAGGTAATGAGATTGAATACTAGGTTTCTACTGTGGCTGAACTGCACTTTTTCTTTATCCAATGAACGGACGCCGAATAACCTTTCTGGTCCTAAGAATTCTATCAAAATTCATAATCAACGTTTTCTTGGCTACTTTCCGGATCAATCAATTACCTCGACCTCTAGGGATCACGTATGACATTAGCTACAAGAACTTTATCAAGCTTCAATGAATACGGTATATCATGTTACTGCGTAACTAAAACCGCTTGCTTATCCATAATATCCAGCTTTGCGTTAAAACGTCTCATTAACACCCGTGCTAATTACCGCGATAAATGTTGTGTGCCACAATGTGTAGATGATGGCGTTTTTCAACAAAATTTATTCGACTAATGACTTGTGAACGAAGGCTGGAAGGTAGATATGAGAATGATCAAATTATAGGTCCTATGATTAAGGACACCTTATTTGTTAATTTTTCTTCTATTTTAGTCCTTAGTTTTCTTTTGCATAGCATGGACATACGTCACGGTGCTGTATCGACATACTACATCATGGTGGTGGAAAAAGTCAATGCGAAGTCAATTGTGAGGTGGATGATCGGAATAATTGTTCGGGCTCAGGGGGAAGGCCAATACTTTTTAGGGCACAGGAGGAAGGCAATCCATCCTGCCTGGAGAAAACCGAATCAACTCCGTCCTTGTTATATTAGTAACACAGGAAGCGGGGGTTTTAATAAAGTATGGAAACATGCTTCAGTGATGATAAAGGTAAAGCTACGGTATTAGCTGAATATTGTGGACAAATTATTATTAATACCCGGAAACGGGTCTCATTAGGCAAGGTGATTCTGTTGCGCCTCTATTTATACTAAGCGTTGAATTTCTGGACGGTTTTTTCAATGGGTCGCGATTATGATCCGGTGGTAGATTCTGCGAAGCACTGCTCTTGCTAGGGCCAATATTAGTAATTTCTCTCAGGTTGAGCCCGTGAGCTCTTTCACCCGTCCGAGCGTGGCTGAAATAATACCTTAAGGCTACCAGCGAATAGGTAGGGATATAGAAAAGAAACTAATTTTGTTCTGTTAAAATAATTTTAATCTACGCAATAACTAAATAAATAAAATGACAAACAATATTATGTAATGTGAAGTGTGAGGGAATACCGTTCCAGAAGAAAACGATGATGCTGTCAATCAAGAAAAATAAGAAGAAAGAAGAATTGAAAATCTAAATGCGAGACATAAGATTAAAAACTTATATTAAAATTTATGAAATACGTATAAGCATGAGCGAACTCGTATGTGTGGGTTTAAATAAAATTACAATTAAGCAAGACTGAATATGTTGAAGAAGAAATTTTAAAAACGAGATGGGTTTGATTTCACATTAAACCTCAACACCAGTATATTAGGGCGAAAAATGGAAAGGGCTTAGGTAGTACAAGCCAAGTAGACTATGGAGATACTGCTATACCCAACAAAGATCTAGAGTCCTTATCCTTGCTTATCCGTGACCACGCAAAACGAATTATAATAATGATCTCGAAAAAAAAACTAAACTAAACATTTAGATAAAATATTTGATAGATCATCAATGGACCAAAGCATTCATATCGAAACGACGAAATCAAATTTTTGGACGTACCTATACGGAATAACTGAAGCTATTCCAATCAGAACTCTAACAAACTGACTGGTGACGAGCTTGGTGTGCAAAAACATTTTGGGTGTAAGACATATAAATTAAACAGACTAACTTTATTCACACTCTGATTTAATCTGCCAATTTTACATATTTTTTTATTTTTTTTTTATTGCCTTTGTAGGCAGACGGGCATACGGCCCACCTGATGGTGAGTGGTTACCGTCGCCCATGGACTTCAGCAATGCCAGGGGCAGAGCCAAGCCGCTGCCTACGCTGCCATTGATGCGTCTTATTCAACTACTGGCTTCTTTTATTTTTCCTACCTAAGCTGATAGCTTTGAGAGGCTATTACAGCGGAACCTTAACTAGTAGGTGAGCTCACGGGGCTCAAACCTGACGACGTTACTAACACGAACCCTAGCAAGAGCCGTGCTTCGCAGAATTTACCACCGGGTCGGAAACGCGACCCACTGAGAAGATCCGGCGAGAAACTCAGTGGGCTGTGTCTGAGGGTTAATTTACTCGTCGAGCCCTTCGTCGCAAGCGACTGGTTCGACGAGAACGATGACCGGTGTTTGAGGTACCTAAAAGCACCGTTAGTGGATCGGGTGGATCCGAAATGACGTGTGTGTCTTCTGACCGCCTGCATTCTCTTTTAAATATGTCTTAACCGGCTATCCCCTCTTGACTGGTCACGTGGCTTAGTCATGTGACTTTAAAAGCAGTCAATTGAGCAACTAATAAACAATAATATTTATATGTTTTGCAATACAAACCTCATATTTAATAATAACTCTTAATATCTACATGACTTTATATAATCATATTAATATAAATAATCATAAGCCTTACAAACAATTGATTTATTTATTATATTCATGTATTATTCACATTGGCGGACTTAATGTGAGTTGTCTATTATCAAAGGTGGCAATCTGTACATTTGGACAAAAAAATTATATTGATATTTAAATACAGATTGATTTGAATATAATCGTCTCCTTCAAATAATACGGTTCAAAACCTGCATTAAGTAAAGGTTAATACTTAACCTGTTATTTATCTAAGATGTCGTTCAGAAGAGTTTTGTGACTGCCAATGGAATACAAAGTCAATAATTCGTTTTTCTGATTTACCAATAATTATCCAAAAGTCACATTGCCGGCTTTGATAATAGTCGACTCATGTCTAAGGCAATCTCTACAAGTCAACCGAAGTTAGGGCACAGTAAATAATACTAGGTACATCCAAATATAAATTAAACTTACAAAGACAAATACATATTATACATAAGTGTTAATATACATAAATACAAATATAAATAAATACACACATCACATAATTTCGTATTTATTTAGTCATATTTTAATATCTAACTTTTCAAATAAACCACTAAATTTATCGTCAGACACGACGGATCGATTTTCCAAAACATTTACCATTAATCAATAATAAAATTAATAACAATAATAATAATAGTAAAATAAATATAATAATATAGAGGGGGAAGAGGTCGACCAAAGAAGACATGGATGGAGTGTGTGAATGACGATATGAGAGAGAGAGGAGTGAGTGTTGAGATAACGGCTGATAGAAGAAAATGGAAGAGAAAAAATAGCTGTGCCGACCCCACCTAGTGGAATAAGGTGGAGAAAAAGAAGAAGAATAACGCAAAATTTATCATTTCCAAATTTTCATCAACTTCTTTACTCATTTTTCACCGTGAATTTAACATAATCGGGTCTATTTATTGAATTGAGTTTTTCAATATTGAATCCACTGTTGTTCGTCGCAAATCAATCTCCGTAACTATCAATTTACAAAACAATCATAGAGACGTATAATAACAGCCATCCAATCCGGCACTGCGGTAGATTGAAATACGGCGAATGGCGTAACAATTCGTCCTATTAATTCTTTGAACAGTATTAATATTTTAAAGCAGAGAAGCAGAAGAGGATCTATCATTATCACGGCGAGTCCTGACATGATTCATTGGTCGTCGAGAACGACCAGGGTCTGCTTGAAGATAGTGAATCTTCTAATAATCCTCTTACTGGTATTCTACTGGTGGTAGGACCTCTAGTCCGCGCGGGTAGGTACCACCACCCCGCCTATTTCTGCCGTGAAGCAGTAATGCGTTTCGGTTTGAAGGGCGGAGCAGCCGTTGTAACTATACTGAGACCTTAGAACTTATATCTCTTATGTCGTAGATGTCTATGGGCTCCAGTAACCACTTAATACCAGGCGGGCTGTGAGCTCATCCACCCATCTAAAGAAATAGAAAAAAAATAAAAAACAAAAAAATTATTACTGGCCTTATTGATAGATTGGTCAGCTATATTACCGCTAAGTTACTTGAGTATATACCTATAGACGTAACTTGAATATCATCACCCTCCTTCAGACATAAAGTTTCATCTGTGATGTAGTAACAGGTTCCAGTCACAAGACTGGGACAGCTCTTGACCTCAGATTATGAGAGACAAAGAAGAGAGAGACAGAAAGAGAGAGAGATGAAAATCCTCGAAAAACTCTTTTATTCTTCATTCACTTTCCTTAAACTTCTTCAGCTGCAATAAATTTAACCGGTGCATTTATCTATTCGTTCGATTTATGCTTCCACCGATGCCCGTGCAATGTGGCGTGTATCCAAGACGTAACGTCAGGTGCCGACACTCTCGTCACGAAACTAGGTCCGACTGCCCCTTGGTCACAATCACTTGTCTTCCAAGACGATACTACACCCCAGAGAACTCTGTTGAGAACTACTGGAGCACCCACGTTCCGCTATAAAAAGAATATTTGTAATGAACAAATTAGCACCGATCGGTGTACCTTTCTTTTTCAACATTCGAACATTCTTTACTGGTGGTAGGACCTCTTGTGAGTCCGCAGGGGTAGGTACCACTACCCCGCCTATTTCTGCCGTGAAGCAGTAATGCGTTTCGGTTTGAAGAGGCAGCCGTTGTAACTATACTGAGACCTTAGAACTTATATCTCAAGGTGGGTGGCGCATTTACATTGTAGATGTCTATGGGCTCCAGTAACCACTTAACACCAGGTGGGCTGTGAGCTCGTCCACCCATTTAAGCAATAAAAAAAAAAGTAACCTATAGTTAATGCGATTAAGGTAATGAAACTCCTTCGAGAAATACTATGGTTAATTTTACATAGCATTTACCAAGTGCTTCGTAATAGTTTCCGAAGTACGAAAGCAATCAAAAATTTTTAACATTTTAATGTTTTTTGGAGTTTATTGGAGTTTACTCCTTTAGAATCGATTTACATATATAGGCCCGGGGTATGAAAATTATGGGGACCAAAATCGTACTAGCATGTCACACGAAATGCGTTATGCGCCTGATTGGCTCCTGATTGCGTGATGCGTGCGCGCGCCAATCAGGAGCCAACGCGCGGCCGCGTTATCGCAGGTGACGCCGGGCTGCTGCGCCGGCAGTCCGCCACAAAGCCTCGTACTGATCGCGCGTTTCTCTCATTATTGTATTTTCATATATTTGTTAGTCGTTTGTTTTGTGTCTCGTTAATTTGTTAATAATCTGTAGTGTATCGTGTTGTCGTAATATAGAACTATTTCTCGTATTGTTTCGTTTAATTTTTTATATCCAGTAAACTCCAGTCGTGCGTCGGAGCGGACACACACACTTTTTCAGTTTTTTGGGCGCAATGTAACCAAATAAAGCTTAACTGGCGAGTACCTTCGCTTTACATGGTTATATATATATATGTGTGTGTGTGTCAAATACGTGGTAGTGTGTGTTATATATTTTTTTGTTGTTGATTTAATGCATTCTGCACTCCTTCTCTATATTCACTATAATTGTGGGAAATTTCATACTCCTTCGTCCGCGCAATTTTCGTAAAAAGGGGTACAAAGTTTTTACTTCACGTATTCATATATAGATCTGTATTATACTCGTAGGAAGGTTACCTATGATTTATATTCGGTCAACTTACGTTTTCCACGCAAATTTCGCTTCCACCAGGAGGATCCAGACACATGATCAAGTCAGTCTTATTGACACCGTAGGCGTCCAGCTCGGCGGCGCACTCCTCAACTTCCGATGGATGGAGATGAGTCACTGTGAGCATTCGGCGGCGCTCTATAGCTTCCATCGATTCGGGGTGTTTGGGCTTTTGTTTCTGGTAAAATAAAGTCGATCAAACTTGTTGTGAAAATGTTAGATCTGTATCAATTACTTTGGTGGCTATAGAATCTTGCTACTACGGGCACAAAGTGGACCATCGACAATAAATAAATAAATTAAAATTAAAGACAAAGAAGAGAATGAAGTAAGTAGTGCTTTCTTCGGCATTCCCGAATCATAGCCATAATTAAAAATAATAAAATAGTAGTTTAGAAAAATAAAAAAAATACGTTATTATAGAAAATCGCTTTTTTTACAATAAAATATTTTTTCTTACACTATTATTAATTCGAATTTATTAAAATTTATTTTCTATTTTTTAGTTGGATTTTCTAAAAAAGCGTATTTTTTTGTTTTTCTAAACTAATTTTTATTAAAGTATTATTAAAATTAATGATTTTCAATAAAATTGAGCCATCATTGATGTTTATCCTAAGTCGGTAACTTATACGAGAAATGAGGAATTCAGGCGCCTGCTGCCTCTCTCGGATGAGATAGCCTTTTTTTTTTTTTTTTTTTTNCCCCCCTGCTGGTTTTGGTCCACGTCGCTCAATCTCTCCCGCCATAACACAACGAGAGAGAAGGAGCGATACCCCTGGGAGTATGACTGCTCCCAGAGGCCCGTTATCCGCCACCTACGGACGCGCCCGGTGGAAGTCCAGCAAAACTCCCCCACAGACGGAACCCACGGCACGCAGAGTGCGCATCGGGGGCCCGCCCAGGTCCCGGGGGATGAGATAGCCTGCGGTTCCCAGGTTCCCTCCCCGAGAACTATTTCTCCTATTTCACCTATGTGATCGGCGCACCTGGTAGTTTCCCTTCTTAATCTTGATGCAGACACTCCGGGTCTCAGGAAAACAAAAAATCGCTAATCCTGATTATTCTAGTAAGGATAACGGATCAAACTGTTTAAAATATTTAAATTGTCATCAGTCCTTAATAAGTATGCCAAATTTCGAGTTAATCCGACATTTTGAAGGGGATCAAAATCATGTTCAAAGATTCCGTTTTATACCAACATACTACGTCTGAAGCTAACAAAAGCGTATTAATAGAACTAATTTAAAATAAATTTCGTAAATAATATAATACAAATAATAAACTCAAACCTGTCTATTAAGGAGACGTGTCCTCGCTAAGCCCAAATGATAAAATAAAGCTGCTTTCAGACTACGCTATACTATAATGCCATATAGTATAGCAGCTTAGACTTAGCCAATAATATATAGTACAGTACAGTGTGAACGTGTCCATAACAATATATATGGCGCGCGAGATTGTTGTGCTGAGCTATATACTATATTATAGCGTAGTCTGAAAGCGGCTTAAGGGCGATAGAGGACGGTAATTTTGCGAATTTAACAAATACGTCCATCAAAGCAATCAGTCTGGCCACATTAATAGCGTCGGGCTAAGGTTCGGTGAGCTAAGTGGCACATAATCCTTATATCATAATTCGCACACCCTTGTAAAACCTAACTAGCTAAGTGACTAAATGGCCTGAATACATTACGGCTAGAGTTTGTTACTCATACCACATACTGTCTGATTGATTGCTAAGGTGGATTACTGATTGAAAACAAAAATACTACTGCGCACATGCTATGTACTGTACTATGATAAACAAGATTGCTTAAAGTGTTAAAATGGGGCCACTCGTAAATATAAACACATTTTTTATTGCTTACTCACAAGTCATCCCACCGCCAGTAATTACGCAAATTATAATTTTGCGGGTTCGATTTTTATTACACGATGCCTTTCCTTCAACGTAAAAGTCAATCATGAACATTTGTTAAGTACGGATTTAATTAGAAAAATTGATACCTGCCAGCGGGATTCGAACACTGTTGCATCGCTACATACGAATGCACCGGACGTCTTATCCTTTAGGCCACGACGACTTTGTAGCAATTGCACACAACTGAATACCATCACCAAGCGATAGCATTGGACACACGCACTAAGTACCACAACACATACTATCAAAGGAAAATGAACTCTAGCTCGTATGCATTTGAAGGCAAAATCGTATCTTAAATATATAGGGATACAGATTCGGAGACACTGGTTGTAATCAACAAAACCGGAAGGACATAAGCGAATGTTTTTTTTTTATTTTTTTTTTTATTGCCTTCGTAGACAAACGAGCATACGGTCCACCTAATGGTGAGTGGTTACCGTCGCCCATGGACTCCGGCAATGCCAGGGGCAGAGCCAAGCCGCTGCCTACCACCCAAGCCGCTGCCTACTACCATGTACAGTTGCTTTGCTAAAATATATTATACGAACATCAATTTCTTATGTTGAAAATGTGCTTACCAACAATGGATTCCATGACGTCACAATGAAATGAGTTGCGGCAACATCCATGAACGTCTTCTGAAGTCTTATCGCTTTTATTTTCGGCGTGAACCTCAGGGTTTCAGGCAGCTGCACCATGGCCACATCGAAAATGGGACTTTTGTCGTCGAAATAAGGATGAATTTGTATCAGCTTGGCCGGCAGTAGCAGCCCTCCTTTTTTGTAATTGATACTCCCGAGTCTCACTTTCACTAGTTTTAAAGTTTCTCTCATTCTGAAATAAAAGAATAAAGAATATCGGCCTCAGTGGGAGGAGCCGGTATGCCAACCTGCTTATAGCGAAACGGCTGCCTTTTTTCATGCCTTTTTGTATGCAGACAAGCATACTTAATGGAGAGTGGTTACGGTCGCCCATGGACATCAGCAATGCCATGAGCAGAGTCAAGCCGCTGCCTACCGCTATTTCAGTTTTACATGGGTAGCATACATAAAAAAAATACAAATCTATTCAGACATCAGAATAAGAAAACAAAAAGTATATGTAATTTTTTGCTATCAATCTATATGTATTTGAACCCACGGTAATTTAAGATTAATAATATTATGTATTAATACACGCTATGTAATTCGATTAATACGCGCTATGTAATCGAAGAATCTAGTAGCACCTAGAACGCTCGAAAAGTACAACGCCATTTATTGTCAGTTAGCGGAAACACAAAACTCGAAATGTGTGGAATATTCTCGATAATTCTAGGAATATGGTATCGGTTATAAAAGCTTTGCAGAAATGACACGCAGTCAGTAAGTAATCGGAACTACTCGAAGCGAAACAGCAAACGAATCACCCGAAGCGAAGTGGAAGAAGCGAATTTATTTGCGAGCGAGATTTTAAGTTTTACTCCGGTAGATTTTTTGTTTATCCCGAACCCCAGCGCGTAACAGTATTTAAAAACGGTAAAACTTACAGGAACAATCCGTCGGCGGCCGTCAAAATCCAATTCTCGTCAATCAAGGCCCCCGCGCTGACGTACTTAGATCGCTGCAGTATCGCAACCACGTACGGGAATACGTGACTGTTCGTCACTCTCCTGTGTTCGTCCAATTCAGCATTGCTAAGTCGCTGTACCGTTTCTATCTTACTCGATACAGTTTTCATAAATAATATTAAACAAATGTAGATATTCATTTTTCGAATAATGTCAAATAAATAATACGTGTTCGATTTTCGAACATCGGAACGTTTTGAATGCGAACGACTAACGGCGAATTACGTAACCGTTTGTTTGGTAAACGCGCGCAAACACGCTTTGTTTGTTTGGAATCTATTGTTGATTTTAAAATTTCGAATTAGGAACAGCGATTTTATTAGCACTAACTAGGGTGAGAAGTCGTCGTGGCCTAAAGGATAAGACGTCCGGTGCATTCGTGTGTAGCGATGCACCGGTGTTCGAATCCCGCAGGCGGGTACCAATTTTTCTAATGAAATACGTACTCAACAAATGTTCACGATTGACTTCCACGGTGAAGGAATAACATCGTGTAATAAAAATCAAACCCGCAAAATTATAATTTGCGTAATCACTNACGTCCGGTGCATTCGTGTGTAGCGATGCACCGGTGTTCGAATCCCGCAGGCGGGTACCAATTTTTCTAATGAAATACGTACTCAACAAATGTTCACGATTGACTTCCACGGTGAAGGAATAACATCGTGTAATAAAAATCAAACCCGCAAAATTATAATTTGCGTAATCACTGGTGGTAGGACCTCTTGGGAGTCCGCACGGGTAGATACCACCGCCCCGCCTATTTCCGCCGTGAAGCAGTAATGCGTTTCGGTTCGAAGGGTGGAGTAGCCGTTGTAACTATACTGAGACCTTAGAACTTATATCTCAAGGTGGGTGGCGCATTTACGTTGTAGGTGTCTATGGGCTCCAGTAACCACTTAATACCAGGGGGGCTGTGAGCTCGTCCACCCATCTAAGCAATAAAAAAAAGCTCTTATCGGAGTCCACAGAACGCCACGTCACGCCAAACCTTTTTAAGTATATATATTTCTTCTGTGCATGTGTTTGTCACTGAACTCCTCCTAAACGGCTGGACCGAATTTAATGAAATTTTCTGTGTACCTTCAGGTGGATTCGAGAATGGCTTAGATTTACAAATCAGCCCAGCATATGGCTCTGCAGTCGGTATCTAGGTTATTTATCTTTGGAAATCAATCGTGAACACTTGTTAAGTACGTATTTCATTAGAACAATTGGTACCCGCCTGCGGGATTCGAACACCGGCGCATCGCTCGATACGAATGCACCGGACGTCTTATCCTTTAGGCCACGACGACTAATATTAGGTTCAAATTTCAACTTAATATTAGAATAAGTGCGGCACTGTTCGGGCCGAATCGCAACTGCCTGCACCAATAAAACGCGCTACAAAAAAATATATGTATGTATCATTTTTATTTACCACCCACTAAATATCGAGCCATCAACGCATTCTCTGGTAACAAAGCCGGAGTGTAAACAAGATATCTTATTTGCCGAACAATAACAACACTAAGGTTATCATTTTTCCATTTACCAATGATCTATGGTACTAGAAATGCCGTTTCAGTTTTATTTTCGATTTCAAAAGCAAATTGGCGGGGCGTGCAAATAGCTTGACTATGTGTCTGTAGTGTAGACCGGACTCTGGAAACTATCGAATATCATAAATGTTGAAGTCACGAAATCCACCGGCGTTACAGGCACACCAACCACACTCCAATTGGAACACAAGCGAGGCCTGGGTTAAAGAATGGTCAGCCAGATGTATCCCACCTGAACTGTTCGAGCCGAGTCCACACTCCCGCCCACCTGGTTTCAAAGAAAAACGCCCAATCTGGTGCATGCTTAACCACCTGAGAACGATGTTGGTCAATGTAACCAACTGCGGAAGAGATGGGGCTGGACGGAAAACGAAAGCTGTGAATGCGGATGCCCAGAGCAAACTGTACGCCACATTGTCATGGAATGCCCACTAACGAGATTCGCAGGCCAAGTGGAAGATCTCAAAAATGTAACAAAGAAGCTATCGATTATTTCATAAACTGTAAATTTAAATTATAACCACTCAGCGTAAACGAATGCCATACGATAAATAAATAAATAAATGTCGGAAATAATATGTATATTAAAATTAAAATATCAAACGCGTTATTCAATGATGAAATTTGTTTTATTGATGTCCAATCGATTCGGGTATGCCGTGTTTTATTATTGTATTCAGTTCGGTCGTAAACAAACACATTCGATGTACATATTCACAATTTTTCGAAACTAATCTGTGGGTTTTGAGTTTTTTTTTTTACCACGGCAACACTGGACGCAAATTGATGCGGCATTCGTGACTTGACATTTGTCACTTCTCGGCCGGCAAGATAGATTCGCGCGATAGATCAACCTATAACAAAATCCTTCATTTAAAAATAAAATATAGGATAGGTAATATGTTACTGCCATCTACAGGAGCAATGAGAAACTAATCGAAGCGAGGCCATCTAGTGGCCGACGCCCGCAAACATTTTGTTGAGTGCTTGAGTTGCTGATCTATAGCAAATTTATGACTTTAACAACACAGAAGTTTAAGGGCATCCGCTACAAGATGTCGCTAGTTTCCATACAAAAAAAATATTTGTTTTTTTTTTTTTTTTTTTTTTTTTATGNTAGTAAATGACGGTACCACCACCACGGGCAGAGAGCCTGTCGTTCCTGACCATGTTATAGTTCGCGATTTTAGGGTCACGGCGCGCGGGCTTAAGTAGGGTCTCCTGCACTAAAAAGATATCAATTTGGTGGTCACGCAAAAAGTCAGAAACCTGATCACGTTGATTTGCGAGACCGAAAAATATTTGTCTTAAAGTATCGCAGTATCAGGGCTCTGGATCGCCCTACCTCAACGGAATGGTGATGTGATCGACAGCGTCACTAGACTGGTGGAGCCAACCGAATCAATTGAATAGTTATTTAAAATTGTTATAAAAAACAAATTTAGTTAACTATTATACATCTGAGGTACTATTATTGTTATCCAGGAATAATTAGATTAATTTTGCGTTTCCAAAGATCTTTTTTGCCACGTACCATGCGGCTTTGGAATGAACTCCCCTCCACGGTGTTTTCCGAGCGCTATGACATGTCCTTCTTCAAACGAGGCTTGCGGAGAGTACTTTATGGTAGGCAGCGGCTTGGCTCTGCCCCTGGCATTGCTGAAGTCCATGAGCGACGATGACCACTTACCATCAGGTCGGCCGTGTGCTCGTCTGCCCACAATAGCAATAATTTTTTTTAACTTATGCGCGATTTGATCAGATACTTCGTTTTCCTTCAATCTTGTATTCCAGAATCACTTCTAGTATTAACACGTTAACTCTTTGTATTAAAATATTTTATGCTGCGAACATTTCGTTGGCTTTCCATTCATTTGTTTGTTTAGCATAGTATCTCAGTTTCCTTAGAAACTTGAAAGCTCACAAGGTCGTTCTTCTTCATTATAAGGAGTGCTAAAGCTTTTGTTGTTCAATTAAATTAACGTACAAGCAAAAGTGGGAAAAAATATGTAGGTGATTATGGTCGAATTTGGATCACTGAGTGAGGACTAGTTATTTAAAATCACTAAACTAAGTATACAGAATTAATGACATTTTAATGACCCCTGTCATCTTAAATGTGTGCAGTTCGTCCCAACTCCACGAGATGGCGCTTTATTCTGTTTGAGTCGCAAATATTCATTCCACGTCCACCAGAAAATCCATTAGCGCCCTTGAAGCTGGAACCATAGATAATACACATAAATTAGTTATAGATAAGCAACTCAAGCTTTCAACAAAAATGTTTACGGGCTTCGGCCACTAGATGGCTTCTCTTCGATTAGTTCCTTATTGCTTCTGCAGATGGCAGTAACATATCTTAACCTATCTTATATTTTATTTTTAATGAAGGATTTTGTAAATTTTCAGAAACCACAAATTGATAAAATTTAATCAATTTGTCTTTAACAAATAAAGACTTGTATGATTTTTATTTTTTGTTTTCTGTCCTTAGTTATACAATAATTAAATGCCTTAACTTTAACAACATGTTTAGGGGCATCCGCTACAAGATGTCGCTAGTTTCCATACAAAAAATATTTGTCTTAAAGAATCGCAGTTTCAGGACCCTGGCTGGAACTATGGCCTCAAGAAGTGACCTAGGTATTTTTTCCGGAGATCAGCAACACTGCTGTCTCATCTAGACTGCCACTAAGCTCAGAGGAGTGTCTTTTACAGCTTTTACAGAACATAGTGCCCCTTTTAGATTAGGGCTCGAGAGAGACGGAAAGGCTCTTGGTGCCCTACCAAGGGTCAATCTTTGTCTGTAGACGCCGAACCCTAGCTAATCGGTTTACGTGACGTCATATCTAATCGTTGCAGTCGTCGTGGCCCTAAGGATAAGACGCCCAGTGAACTCATACCAATGCAACTGTATCCGTGTTTAAATCCTGCAGGCACGTACCGATTTTTCTAATGAAACGCACACTGGAATGGCTTCTACGGTGTAGGAATAACATAGTGTAATAAAAATCAATCCCGCAAAAATAATGCCTCGCGTAATTACTGGTGATAGGTCATCTTGTGGACCCGCATAAGTAAGTACCACCATCCTGCCTATTTTTTTAATTTTTTTTATTGCATGGGGGGACGAACTCACAGACCACCTGGTGTTAAATGGGTACTGGACCCATAGACATCTACACCTTGAGATATGAGTTCTAAGGTCTCAGTACAGTTACAAAGGCTGCCCCACCCTTCAAACCGAAATGCATTACTGCTTCACGGCAGAACTGGTGGTAGGACCTCTTGACAGTCCGCGCGAGTAGGTACCACCGCCCTGGCTATTTCTGCCGTGAAGCAGTAATGCGTTCCAGTTTGAAGGATGGGGCCATAGCACTATAGAATTGAGACTTATATAGAGAATCTTAGGTTAGCGTTATCGGCGTTCTACAGACCTATGTAAGATTTTTTTTAAATAACTAGCTGACCCGGCAGACTTCGTAGTGCCTCAATCGATAAACAAAAGACCTAAACTTTTGCATAAAATAAACTTAAATGAAACAAAAGGAATCCGTCCGACGGGGGACACATCAAAAGAAAAACAAAATTGTTAT